CTGCCAGTACTTTTCCGCACGCGAAATCGAAGGAAAAAGCCCGTTAATTTCGTAGCAGGATGCACACGCCAGAGCGAGGATGATCATTTGGCATACATTAGTCACAGAGAGCACACGGCCGAAGATCGCTCTTCCTAAAATGCTTCGTTACCCTCGGCAAAATCGCGATATAATTTCCTCTCTTCCAGCAAACCGATCGTTAAACGCGCAGAAATGCATGGCCAAGCGAGTCGATGATTGACGATGCAATCGAGAGTAATTAGCTATCAAGTCGCGTTAATTACCAAACGATAATCACTAATGCAACAGTGCAGTATACTTATACGTAACATTGCTTTGGTTTCCCGGTACGTACGCTAAGTAATGAATCTCTCGAGAGATTGAAGCGGATATAAATACGGCCGAATAACAGCATCAAAAGCAACGCTCTCAGTTTGAAAAACTAAATACAGATGCACTTCATCATGTTATTTGATATGTTTTCAAGTCCTCTTCATACTAGCTACTTTCGCGAATTCGCTAGATTTTATTTACTACGTGAGCGATTAAACGCCATATCCGAATAGATTTCTTTGTAATTTGTATTTGCGTTGTTTGTTTGCTCGAACCGATTTGAATTGATTTAGTTTCCTGAATTGATTTAATTTCTTTCTCTCCGGGAGAGGAAATTGCGGAACGCTGAAGAGTCAAATAATTAATGATCGCTAATTGCGTGCACAAACTACTCAGGGGCTCGCAAAGCGCTCGTGAGATACAAGCCTTAATTTGCGCTAACAAAAACTATCTCATCGCTTTGCTCGCTACCAAACGATGCGTGAATACAAACATTCGTTTGTGGATACAGGAAGAAAGTCAGCAAACACCTGGAGGAATGCAGCGATTACCTTTGAGCGATCCCCCACTGATGAAAGCGCGGCTGCTTATTTTTATCGGATATAACGGGTGAACCGCGTGTGTTGCAGCAGCTGTGTAAGTCAGCAAACACCTGGAGGAATGCAGCGATTACCTTTGAGCGATCCCCCACTGATGAAAGCGCGGCTGCTTATTTTTATCGGATATAACGGGTGAACGCGCGCGTGTTGCAGCAGCTGCGAGCGTGCATATCTTGGTTGCTATCGTTCGTATATCTGTACACACGTGTTAGCGATATAGGAAAGGAGGATCGTTGCCAACCATGGATAGTTGCATACTGTCCCCGTGGAGGGAAAACCTTGTCCCCCCAGCTGCCCCTTCGCGCATACCCGTTGTAACTTCCAACATTCCAACTGGCGCACGTCTCACGACAGACTCGGCACTAGCGATTAATTGAGATGACATAGCCGCTTATTAGCATGGCGTTACAATATGCAAGTTGCTTCCATCCATGCGGCGCGAGTCAATATTCTCCCTTCAATTCCAATCACAAATATAGCCAATTTTATCTTAGTATATAGTTTGTATCATATTAAACTTTTAATACTCTTGGATTTTTCATTAAAAAAGAATAAAAGAGAAGCTACTTTCACGTATTCTATTGTTAAACTCTAGCAATTATTAATTACTTCAATCCAATCATTTAATTTAACTCAAAGCAAAATTTCGACAATATAACGGTCAATCTTTTTTTTTTTTAGTTTATTTGTTTTTATTTATTAATTTTTCTTTCAAATGAATGACGAGCTACGTGAATGACGAGAACAAAATGTATTACATTGTGTGTAGAAAAATTGATTATATTATAAATTATTTTAAATTTCAAAAAATATCCTACGTTTTCAAAAAAATTGTAATAACTCTCTTTAAATGAGACAAATATATCTGTCTAATCTTGTATTACGCAAGCATTTAAGGATTAATATATATAAGCGTATTTTAGATAAAATGCGTACTTTTTATATATTACTTGAGATATACGTTTTCTTTAATATAAGTTTAATTTGGGGAGCTATTATGGGGGATGACTATTATGGCGCGCGACTTGTTATTAAATTACTCCCGTGACTCGCAATTAGAATAATCAATGTAATTTCCATCTTGAGGGACAATGTTATACCTATATTCAGGCACCTTATACATATATTCAACTCAAAGCCAAGAGAGAGAGAGAGAGAGAGAGAGAGAGAGAGAAATCATTAATGAAATAATTACGCGAGTATTTCTCATTTGCGAATGGATACAAGGATATCTCGTTTTATACTTATTAATTATGTATAATATTCTTCCTTAACGCGCTTAATAAAGAAAATACTTAAGTCTCTCTCTGTAAACATACATTTAAAAAATTGAATTTTTCTCCTAAAAATATGACATGAGAAAAAAATGATAATATTTATAGTTTCTCTTTATATAAGTAATATAATCTATATATAAATTTTTAATTTGCCAATAAATATAACACATTTTATTAAGATTAGAAAATATAAATGCAATAAGTGGCGTCACAGAACAGTACTCGAGACAGTAAATCAAGTGAGTAATTAATCAGATTTATGCAAATATGCAGATATTTTCGATGAAAGATGATACATATATCGACTATATATATATATCGCCCAATAGATACAATGTTCTTCATCGACGCGATGTTTCTAGCTGACGCTCGAATTCCGGAGAAAGTTAATTGCGATGACACGTTCCAGCAGGAAGAGAGAAACGTGCTACGTATGCATACATGTATTAAATTCGCGCATATCGCGGATAAACGTATTTGGCTCGAAGCGATAAAACGTATTAATTTCAGTATTGATTGACAAACACTAATCTATTAGACGTATGTCAACAAGTACTTTGCTATGACCGATGAAAATCATGCTTCGCGATTAAGATCTATTATCGGGAAACGGCAGGGGGGCTACTGATACATGTATATAATTGCATTTCTATTTTACAACAAATATTATCTACAGCAAAACGCTGCGACGTTTTTGATCGGACAATGCTCTTCGAGAAATGCATCTACCCTTCCGCGTATACGAACCAACGTTTACATACCGAGAGAGATGGATAGAAAGAGAGAGAGAATAATGTTCTCTGAGAGAAATTCGTACAAACTATCTCGTAGCTGTCTTTGCTCTCTTGAGTTATGCGATCGATAAAGTTCGTTTTGTTGCTACATCACATTAAAAGGCTATTGCTTTCGAATATTCGCCCTTATTTGGACACCAAGCTTGATCTAAAAATCGTTTATAATAAATTTTTAATTTTTCAATTTTATTTGTTTATATTATCACTGCGATTTTTAATATTTCTATTCCAAATCTCTTTGTTTTACGCGGACTACACTAGACTGAAAATTAAACTCGGATTCTTTCGCTTGTTAATCGACTTACACTAAGAGAGCTATTTAGATCCCCGGACATTGCATTACGCGCGCACATTAATCCCTCGATTTACGATGCGTGTTGCAAAGACGAGGCTCGATGTTCTCCATTATAGATAGCGATCGGCGAGAAAGCGCGAAGAAACATTTCGTATCGCGGGAGAAAATGTCCCCTCCTCCGTATACGACCTGAAATACGACGGCCCGGCCCGTTTAATCGATTCGGCACATTAGCGGTACACGGTTCCGCCGCTATTAAATCAGCCGAGCGAGGAGGAACGAACGCGCACGATTTTCATCGATTGTCGGAATTCCGCTGTGCATCCATCGGTCTATCTCGCGAACCCCTCCGGCGAACGATTTCCCGGCGGTGAGCAAGCATTGCGGAAAATCGGTAGCCGACCTAGTAGACCGAGCCTAGATACAGTTTAGAAAGGCGAGTGATTCTTCCGAGCAAAAGCGACCCCGCCCCGCCGTTCACTTTTCACAAGAGAACCAATTTCTCGACTGCACTTCTTAGAATCATTTTGATTCTTTCATCTATCGAGTCTTTACTTGCTACAACAAGAACTAAATTTTTTATGAGCACTGTTCCCTCTAAAGGGAATGGTCGGTTTCTACACAAACTTTTCTAGAAATCTAATATAAACCTTCGATATATATAAAAATGTGAAAAAAATTAAGAATGTATAAAAAAATTATACGATAAAACTTCTCGCAAATTTTTCTCGCGCAAGGAAAGGGATTTATTTTAATTTTAAAATTCAAAATTCAAATTCTAAATTGATTCTATATTAGAAGTTAGAAGCTATACTTTGATGTAGCTTTATAAATATATGTCGATATTTATTGAATGCATATTGTATCAAAACTAAATTTTTATGCACATTTGTTTGTCTATTAGATATTTAACGTTCTAATCATAAAATTTTATTGTTATATATACTTTCATGTAATTAACAAATCTCTTATTTATCTTGTAAGAAATATGAATACTTGAGATTAATACATCCTATTGTTCGCGTGCTATGATAAAAGTGCCATATTAAAGATAATAAAGCACTTTCCTTTGAAAATTATTCATTAGCACTGCTTCGCGATTTTCACGCTAGAATATATCTCTTCAATTAATTACTAATTGTCGCTTTGTGTGAAAGTTAATGTCATTATTATCATTATTTGATATTATCGCAATTGAATACTATTTCAGATAGCACATGAAATATATATTTAATAAATATTCTACTTATTTCGTTAATTATAATATTCTTACATATCTATGAATAGTCTTCAAATATTCATTTGCAATAGTCCGCAGTATTTTTATTTTAGATTGAAATTGTGTAAAAAATCTGTATAAAAATGTTAAATTTAATGGAGAATATCCATTAACTGTCATACTATCATAACATCCTGATCAAATGTTATTAATAAACTCTCTCTCTCTCTCTCTTATAAAAAATATTTTTATAGAATATGTAATATATATATATTTTTTTTAAACAGAGAAGAAAAGATATATAATAATATCTTTAAAAATTTATTAAGAAAAGAAAATGTAAATGTATTAGACACATAGAAAGCAACAATAAAATTCGTCTATTACTTGAATGTTTTCGGATTCCGATGAAATACCGAGGTTTAATAAAAAATGGATCCATTATATACTCGACGATTAACGATTGCTTCTTTTATCTCGCAGATCTGCTGCAGCCGCAACCAGTCGTACAATGGATGTTGAAACCGGGGCCATTCTGGCCCTGCAGATATTGGCTCTATGCTCGATAGTCGCGGCTCTATTGGCCTATCTGATGCGACAATCCAGGAAT